TTTTGATATCTCGTGATCTAGACGTACTAGGGTCACGAATTTTGGTTGGTAGATAGCTCTTGGGGTAGGGAAGAAGTGACATGAGTTTGGGCCCCCTAGCAGCTTGTTCTGGAACTGCAGGAGCATTTCTTGAAAAATCTACGAAGGTGCATAACTCAAGAACTGGTTGATGGATTGTTATGATTTTTGGTATGTAGGTAGCTAAAGTGATGCTTCACATAATCAGATGACAATTATGCAAATCAGGAGCTAATTTGCATAATTAATGAGGAAATTCTATAAATCTGCTTCGTTCGATAATAGGACTATGAAACATGTGTGACATGTAATTAGGAACGAGAAAAACATCCGAGGATATAGATTATGTAAATGAAGACCTAATTTGCATAATTAATGGCAAATTGTTATAATTTCATAGTATAATGTAACTGCTAGGAATTTCATACTTGCCGTATTGGAAGTTAAGTGAAGGTGAACATCAATGAAGATAACTTATTAACATCATGACCTCATTTGCATAATTTATGAGGAAGTGCTAGAATAGCCTTTTTTGTTAAGATAAGGTTATCATTGGGTGGAGAATATGATCCATATGATGTAATCCATGCAAATGACTCTGTTATTTGCGCAATCAATGATTAAAATTGTATAATTCGTCAACCGTCAATTTGTCAACATCATTTGGCGAAGGTATGAGATCGTGGAACTCTTGTTTTCTTTGATTTCTTTGATTTGATTTGATTTATTGAAATTGCAACAGTACAATACACGCGGAACAGAGGCAGCTGTTGCTGGTGTTGTGTCCCGCACATTGAAACGAATATTGGACAGACAAAACTTAATTTCACTTGAGTCTAGTGGGGAAAGTCGTGTAAAGTGCCTTTCCCAAGGGCACAAGATCGGTGGCATGTCAGGACTCGAACCCGGGACTCCTTGATTCCGAGTCGCGCACGCTGCCGTTGCGCCACACGACCCCATTTTCTTTACAAAGGTTACTTGATGCTTGATTTTTCCTACACCAGAGCACAAGTTCACGGTGTTCAGCGCTATCTGGCTGATGTGGGGGATGCTGTTCGGCGGCGCCGTACCCGCAGACAACCCCAAAGGCACCACCAGTAAGATGACGGCCTCGGTCTGGGCGTTCTTCGGTCTCATCTTCATCGCGTCTTACACGGCGAAGCTGACAGCTTTCATGATCCTCGAGGAGAAGAGGGAAAGTATCACGGGCATTAATGACCCCAAGGTAAACTACCCTGGATGCCAAACTAGTATCGGGCCGCTTGCCGTTTTCCTTCGGCAGCCAAGAGCCCTTCGCCCGCCTATCTAAATTACCGCTACGGGGGAGTTGAGCCCGAGGAGTTTGTCCGGCCCTTCAGTAACACGCCCCCCCCCCCCGGGCTAGTCTCCCCGTAGCGGTAATTTAGACCCGCGGACGAAGGGCTCATGGCTGCCGAAGGAAACTGCTAGCGCCCCGAAACGAGTTTGGCATCCAGGGTAAAGGTAAACAAGAGCAAAGAATTTGGCTTCCTGGTTATTCTCTTTTCTTTGACATATTCATCGGAAATTCCTTCGCATAATGACAATGATAATGATCTTTGTTGCATGTTCATGTCCAACATGGTCTAAATTCTTAGATAGGTACATAACTCAAGTTGAAGTATATGCAAATCATGCTACAATTCATCCATATCTACAAAGTTCTTTTTTCATATCTGTAAGGCCACACCAATTTAATTTCTTGGTTAACGGATTTTTCTAGAAAAATAATGGAGCGGGCGGGCGAAAAAAAATTTAAAAAGTAAAAACAGGCCTAGGCATCCTATTTATATATTTATGGCCCAAAATGGTACGATAGGAGCCATGAAGTCAACACACCAGGCTGGTTAAAAATTTAAACAATGAATTTTGAACTTTTGATGTTACCACTGCATTGAAAGATAGAATAACTGTAAAAACTAGGAAGAAAAGGACTGTTTTCAACCGTTCAGGACAAAATATGAGCATTTTGCAGTTGATTTTGAATTTTTTTTGCAAATCAGAAAAAAATGAAGCTGGCGAATCAGTTAACCAAGAAATTAAATTGGTGTGGCCTAAAGCTTTGTAACATTTCCTGTTGTCTATGTGTTTTATACCCATTGCAGTTTCAGAACCCGACGGGCAGCTCCCCAGCCTTCAGATTCGGAACAGTCCCGGACGGGAGCACAGAGAAGAACATCAAGCGGAACTACGGCAGCCACATGCTGGACTACATGAACCAGTTCAACAACGACTCACCCAAGGCAGCAGCAGAAGCTCTCAAACAGCAGTAAGTCCAGGCATTCGTCACAAACTTATCTTGATCATGAAAGTTCCTCTGTGTTGGTAGAAATCATTATGAAGCAAGTTTAACCTGCAATCTCCAACACAACAAAAATTTCAAGGAATGAGCAATCAACCGCTTCCGTGACGTCACTCAGATAACACACGTGACTCCGTGAGCAGTGGACCATAGGTTGCAGAAAGTCTGTGGCGCCCCCGTCTCTGTTGAGGGATGGTTGTAAAGCCCTGATGTAGATGGCCTCTTTAATCCCTCGTGCAAAAAAGTCCGGTTCTGTGTCCAAGATTTTTACTTTGTCCAGTGAGACGGAATGTCCAGGGGATTCTATATGTATATGTTGTGAAACCTCAGAGTTAGTTGAGCTAGTCTTTGTCAAAGAATGAGCAATCCACTTCTTTGCACGAGGAATTAAAGAGGTCATCTACATTAGGGCATTGCAACCATCCCTCAACAGAGACTTTCTGCAACCTATGGTCCACTGCTCACGGAGTCACGTGTGTTATCTGAGTGACGTCACGGAAACGGTGGATTGCTCATTCCTTGACAAAGAATTGGAGTTGTACAGTCGTAAATTTGAGTCCAATTTCTTGTGTTGGAAATCGCAGTTTAAACTTGCTTCATAATTCGTTACAATATTTATGTTTGCCTGTAGCAAAGAGATTTCTGCATGTGGTTTTAAATTTCATTCTTGGAGTAAGCTTAGTAAAATATTGTGACAAAGGTACTTCGAGAAATTACTGCTATGTGAGTGGTTGTAGCAAAGACTAACAGGTCGCAAAGTTATCACTGTAAGGCTTCTGAAGCGCCCCCTTCTTGCAGTACCTCCGTTTTACCCACAATGTACCGGTCACAATGTTCGTGCCTTTAGGGAGCTGGATGCCTTCATCTACGACGCAGCAGTGCTTGACTGGGTAGCGGGGAAAGACCCCGACTGTTCTCTCGTCACCATCGGGGAAGGGAAGATCTTCGCCGCCACGGGGTACGGCATTGGCTTCCCCAAAGGGTCCCCTCTGAAGAAAGAGTTCGACTTGGAGATCCTGCGATATAGAGCGAACGGTAAGTGGGCGCCACCCAGCGGTACGATCTGTTCTCTGCAGTGCCTGTACATCTTGATCGTCCGATCTTCACTCTTCTTCTATTTTGAATGCATTTTCGATCGTTGTTTCCTTAAGGTTTTAACTTATACATAGTAATGCATTTAATAACATTCAAGTAAGCAATAATATAAAGCGAATCAAATACCTCGAAGTGCCCTGTCTGTTTCTTCCTTTCCATTCCATTCCCTTTCCTTTGCAAGGCTTCCTTGATGAACTAAAAGCGGAATGGCTGCGAGGCATTTGTCATCAAAACAGCCAGATGCCAGACGCCAGGAGCTACCCGCTGGACATAGAGAACTTGGCGGGCGCGTTCTACCTGCTGGCCACGGCCATCGGGCTGAGTCTGATCGTCCTAGCGGCCGAGCACGTGTACTACAGGTCCGTCCGTCCCGCCCTGCTCAGCAGGCGTATAGACTGTAACGGTGCCTGCTCGCTCATCAGTACGGTACGTTTCTTGAATACGATGACATAATATATGAAAGTAATATATGGAAAATTATGGATGGGAAGGAAAATCGTGCGAAATGAAAATACACTTGAACAATGGAAATAACTGAGTGGAAGTTTCAAAAGTTGCGAGAAATGTTTCAGGAATAAAAAAAGAATTCAAAACTCGTATTTCCATTTTAAAATTTCTAAAATTTCTAAAATTTCCATTCAAAAACTCACAAGAATAGTAGAGTGGGACTCGTGTCCACCAAGCACAGTCGGGTTATCATCGCTAGAAAGCAGCTCCTGCAATCAAATGTGCAAAGATTGAGTGTAACAGGTCGTTCGGTGAAATATAGCTAGCTGCCGCCACGCCGCGTGCCTGCGAAGCTGGTGTGTTACGCCAAAGGGCGGTTATACTGGCTATACTGATACAGATACAGGAATAGAATGCTTGGTGCGGCTGTGTTCTGTACATGCCTACAACTTTTTTGACCTCATTTCTTGTAAGTAGAACGTACATGTAGAGTTGAAATATTTTCTAGTCTGTATAGTTCTATAACACTCTGTCAGACACAGTAACCGTTGACCATATATGTATGTAGCATTATGATAGACTCATACTAACTAGTAACTTTATTATGAAAAATTTAAACTGTTCTCCAACTCAAAATTTGACTCACCAGAAACGTGATTGGACACGTGATTTTTCCCACGTGTGACGTCAGCAAAGGGTCAAAGGTTGTCTGAAGTCGATATCGCCCCCCGTCCCGGTTGAGCGATGGTTGAAGTGCTCTGATGTATATGGCCTCTTTTGTGCCTCTCTTGAAGTAATCCTGTTCGGTATCCAAGATTCTGACTTTATTATAGTAACTTATAAAACTATTATTTGCCATACATAGCACCCGTGTCAATCGTGCAATAAACTTTGACTTGACTTGACTTGACTGTCTTGTTCTGCACAGGGAATCCACAAAAGCCTTGACGTGGGTATGGGTGAAGGGAACGGTCTGGACTCACACGAGTCTCTGTGTGAAGACTGTAACGACACAAGTCCAGCCGACAGGAACCAAGTCGCCATGTCTGAAACCGTCACATCAGACATAGCGCTCACACTGTCCAGGTCACCCACACAAGAGGCCCTGCCGATGGGAGACTATCTTCAAGGCGGAGGGGTCGTGAAGGACGACGATGACGGGGAGGGGTTTGTGAGCCCTAGCGGCCGCGTGACAACTGCATGATATGTACATAGAACGATAGAAGATCAGTATAAGAGGGCGTAGTCGTGCAGCAAATGTTTGTACAGGTAAATTGCTACATTTTAAAATGACTAGTCGACTTATCACTACTAGGTCAGTTTACTGTCGTCAAAAATTCTGTATCATAGACTGGAAACTTGTGATCAAGTAGAAAATAATGCCAGGTTCTTCTTATATAGTATATTTATACTTGCTTGTATTGATAACGCATAACGCATACAGACTGTCACCGTGATCAGTACGTGAAAAGGGTCAACGAAAACGCAGTTACATTATGTAACCTCAACAGTACATGACATAGCTACGATACAGGAAATACAGATGTGCTAAGCAATGCTTGATGTCACCAGAGATTTCGACACAATGTCTCTTATAGCATACAGATGATGTCAGAATGACAGAAGGTATAGCTCACGCCAGACAAGAAAAGAACGAGACAACTAGAAGTTTCCATGTTATCAACATTAATTTAATTAGGTATTAAAAAGTGTTCTACCCAAGATCTATCCTAGATAGTCAATATCAAGATAGAATTCTTTATCCCTGTACACTGAGTAGGTGTAAGGTAGTTCGATACTCCTAGTACCTACGAAGCTGCGTTCCTAATGTAAAATCGCTAACAATGATACAGATGTAGATGATACTGTAAAATACTATTTTTCATTCGTAGTATGTAAAATTCTTTGATTGATACTAAGTAATAGGCAGAGTAACACTTTGTAAAAAGCGCGTGGTGGCTTCTGAACACTCTTTGGTTATACAAGGAATAGAAAAATATATGATATAGGAGAAATTACCAGTAATCGTGTTGAATAGCAATAGAGATACGTGTATATTATGTGGTGATTTACCACTGCACGGCTCCATACAAGG